GCGGGAGATGGCGGGAGATGACTGGAGCCGCTCGAGGACTGCCTCGAGGATGGCGGCGAGGTGGCTGGTGGAGAGGGCGCCGAGCTCGAGGCCGATCGTCTCGAGGCACCTCGGGCGCGGGGGGGGGGGAGTCGCCGCAGTTGTGTCCGCGGCGCAGGTGCGTCGGAGGCGTGGCGGCGCTTCAAGCTGGAGACGTGCGTTCGCGGCATCCGAGGGCGGCCCAGGGCGGCGGCGCAGTTGTCGCGGCGCAAGTGGCGGCGGCCCAGGCTGTTCGCCGCGGTGCAGCTGCCGCCGCGGCGTGGGTGCGGCGGCGCAACGGCGGCGCAAAGGCGCGCGGGCGGCGCAACGGCGCGGGCGGCGCAATGGCGCGCGGGCGGCGCGTCAGACTGCGCGAGGGGCGGGGCGGGGCGGACTTTTTGGCGGGAGCTTCGGCGAGCGTGCCGTCATCGAGCTTGCGGACCAGAGCGAGCGCCACCGCCTCGACCAGCGACGCCTTGTGAGCCGGATCCGCGGCTTCTGCGGGCCGCAGCGGGCGCGCTGTCGGTTTGGGCGGCGGAGAGCGGCGAGGGGAGAGCGGGGCGGCGCGGACCGAAGGCGGCGGGGAGCACGGTGACCAGGTGGTCATGCACCTCCTCACACTCCATCACCGCGGCGATGGACGTGGCGTCCGCCTGCTTGACCAAATCGTCCTCGACGCGGCCCCGTTCACAGAGCGCCTCCTGTGCGGCGGCGGGACGGCGACGTGGAGAGGCCGCGGTGAGGCGGCGGAAGACAAAGGCCGGGCGGGAATTGACCTGGATCGCGGCGACGAAGGCGTTTGGCTCTACGTTTTCCATGGCGAAGGACGGGCGGATGTCGCAACCACCGGCAACGACCAGGCGGCAAGGTGGTGGAAGAATTCTTAAATTAAGTGATATAATAGCACGCGCCAGTTCGCACCTGTGTCGAGCCTGTGCGCTGTGAGAGAGAGTTGTTTTGTTTAAATTCTTAAATTTAGCCTCTCTCACAGCACACTGGCACGACAAGGGCGCGGACTGGCGCGGACTGGCACAATTTAAACAAAAGAACTCTCTCTCACAGCAGACAGGCTCGACACAGGTTCGAACTGGCGCGTGCTAGTACTATCACAGGGTGCTGGAAGAATTCTTGCTACTGACAGGTGGGGACCTTGTCCTCCTCCCATCCCTCATTTGGCTTGTCTGTTTTCTTTCTTTCTTTGCCCGCACTCACGGACTCCATACCCGAACGAAAGAGGGACGCCTCGCTGAGGGAGGGTGTAGAGGATGTAGAGTGTACTCGAGTAGAGCGCTGTAGACTACACGTGTAGAGCTGTAGAGATGTAGATTGCTGGAGAGCGCTGTGTAGAGCTGTAGAGCTCTACATCCGCCGCGGGACGAACTGCCTCCGTTGTAGAGCGATGTAGAGGCGCTCTACAACGATAGTGGCCAGCGCAACTCGCCTGGACTCAACGCTCAGCCAGGAGCTCCCGCACGCGCTGGCGCGAGTCATGGCGCATGCAACGCGCAGCAATGCTCGCCTCGCCTCGCGCAAATGCGACCGTCCTCGCAGCCGACAGTCCACCGCCTGCTAAAGAAGCACAGCGAAAGTATAAAATGTCGACATTTGTCTCTTAGCTCCCCGGCCCTGGATGTGAGGCTGCCAACTGCACTCCAAGTGCTCCAAGTGTCCCAAACATTGCCCACAGATCGTGGCTGAAATCGACAGACTCGCGAGTTCAAAGCGATTTGGATGCGATCCAAGCGATTTTGAAGCGATTTGGGCGCCCATTTTGGGCGATTTTAGGGCGTCCGCAAGCTCGGGATGGACCTCTCAGATCACTGGATACACATCGACATAGAGGTTTGCTGAGCCCCCCCTTGACCAGCCCAGGCCCCAGCCCCTCTTTCTATTGACAACATATTGGAGATTGATTGCTCCTCTAAGTATTGGAGAAATATATTCATTATTTTAACACAGCGTTAGGGGGGGGGGCG